CCACTACCACTACCACTCCCACTCCCAGTACCAGTACCAGTACCAGTAGCACTACCACTACTACTACTACTACTACTACTACTACTTGCTTCTTGCAACTTCCTACTTCGAGTTTCAAAAGAATATCAGATACTGCTTCCTACTCCGCAGACTGCTACCAGCTACAAGTACCAGTTGTTGCCAAGTACCAGAAACTAAGTCTACAGTAAGTATCACATTACCGCTTACGTTCACTTCTAGGCTTCGCACTTCCTCTTCCCCTCCTCCTAGTACCGCTTTTGCAGCTGGCTACAACCTGTACTAAATGTGCACACGACGAAGATAAACAACGTACCTACTGGTCCTCATGCATCTTCATAAGCAGAATAAGAAGAGTATTATCATCTTTGCCTCAGCCTGAATGGCGGAAGGTCCAAGGTTGAAGAGAACAGACTCGGGGCTGAACCGCATTTATTGCAGCCATGTCAGTTGCTCGGTCGAGCAACCTGCTTCAACAAACTCACGTATGACTGATGCACAGTCAACTGCTCAAGTTAAGGCAGTTACGGCAATCCGGAACCTGAAGGAACCAAAGAGCTGGCAACGAATGCAAAATTGCATGGCACCTCGTCCTTGAGCAGCGGGGCGATGAAACCGAAAAGGGCAGTGACATCGTCCACACTGCTGAGGGCACGGTCGTCCTGGCGAAAATTTGGCTATGGATCTTGTAACTCGATCTGCATTTAGGTATGCCGGCTTTGGAGACGTCGATTCTTCAAGTTGGCTGCACGAAACCGTAAAGGCGGCACGCGGGGAACATGATGCACATGAGCAGCAAATTTTTCATCCCACCGCACCAAAAGGCATTTCTGAGCACCACGCAGGCTACCAGAAAGCCGAAGCAGTGCATGCGATCTACTTTGAAGCATCACCCCTCTTGCACAGTTTCCGCAGTCATGGACTTCGTGCAAACACCAAAAGACGCGCCTAGGCCTGCAGCCTAAGCCAAAATCATCGACAACCCTATACTCTCCCAATGCATCATCTCGAAAAGTCCGAACTTGCTTCACACGAGGCATTTCCGGAAGTTGGCCTCAAGCTCCTCCCGGTTGATGTTCTTGCCGATAAAAGTCAGCTTGCAGACTCTCTCTTCATCAGGCCCCCACGGGCGCTGTGGGGAGCCAGTAAATGCCATGTGGACTGCCTGGAACACGAACTTCTCCTTCAGGCCCTTCACGGCTAGCACACCCTTGGTACGAAAGAGGTCGTTCCCTTTCTCCTGGAGCACCTTGCCAAGCCAACCGTTCAGCTTCTGCTGATCCACCTCACCCTTCACGTGGAAACCGCAAGACGTCACACGGTCATCATGCTGATGGTCTTGGTTATCCTCCAAAAAGGCATCATCCATTTCCAGGATCTTATCCAAGCTGAAGGCCTGAATGCCGAGAATGAAGTCCATATCAACTTTGCTCTGAGTGGCGCGGCGGATCTTCACCGACTCGTTGATCATGCGGATGCGTCTCTCCACTTCCACTAACTGGGGTTCGTCGACAAGGTCACACTTGTTCAACACAATGCGGTCTGCAAAGGCCAACTGTTCCACGGCCTCGTTCTCGACGCCCTCAGGCTTCTCTTCATCCAGGTGTGGGATCAGGTGCTTGGCGTCCACAAGAGTCACGATGCCATCCAGGGACATCTTCTGCTGCACAAAGTCGTCTGCGAAGAAAGTCTGGGCGACAGGAGCTGGATCTGCCAAGCCGGTAGTTTCGATGATGACGCCGTCAAGTGGCTTGTTGTTTTTGACTGCGTTCTTGATCATCTTCTTCAGGCCGGCAATGAGGTCGCCTCGGACGGTGCAGCAAATGCAGCCATTGTTCATCTCGATGATGTTCTCCTGTGTCGCGATTGAGCCGGCCTCAATCAGGCCGTCGTCGATGCCGACCTCTCCAAACTCGTTCTCGATGATGCCTATGCGCTTGCCGTGGTTCTCGTGAAGGATGCGATTCAGCAGTGTCGTCTTCCCGCTTCCGAGGAATCCGGTAAGTACCGTGACAGGCACCTTGCTTTCGGAGAGCTTGGCCTTTTTCAGTGCCTGCACCTGTTCTACTTTGTCCTTCAACGCGCCCCCCAATTGCTGTGCACACTCGTAGTCACTGGCTGCACGCTTGTGCGCACCCAGGCCCGTAAGAATGTCACCACGGAGCTCGTACATTTGTCGAAGGGTGTCCTTCTGCTCCGCCGAGACCTTCGGAACCATCTCGGCGATGAACGCCGGGGGGTCCTTCAAAATCTTGTCCGAGTCGTCGCCCAAAACCTTCGCGAAGGCTTGCATGCAGGCGTTGATGTGCTGCACAGCATCGAAGAACTTCCCTTCCTTCACGGTTGCCTGTGCTGATGCAAAACTTTCGGTCCAGTTTTCTGCCATGGCTCAAGGTTTTAAGGCCAAAGTTCTATTCACGAGCGCTTTAAGAGCGTTGAGCCGGACGGCTCTTGACTGAGATGCTTCCGGTGCAAGCTTCTGCGGTAAACCTAACAGCTTGTCGCAAGCTGTGCCCGGGCTAGTCTCCTCGAGATATCTGGCCAACTCAGCTTCTCGCAACCATCGAAAAACAGTGAGAGCCACGGAAGTGTTCCACATCTGTGGTGCAAGGTCTGCGACTCTGTTTCCGAGCTGGACGGAGGTAAGGGTAAATGCAACGAAGCACGCTTGGCTTCGTGTGGTCTGGTGCTGCCACCCCTCTTAGATGGCCTCTGTGTTTGTGTCCACAGAAGCCCCACAGCAGGTCGAGCCTAAGCCCAGCGCCTAACTAAAAACTGCTGCAGCGCAGCATCTCAGGCGTACCCGCCTGTACCTCCCACGAGACATTTCCGGAAGTTGGCCTCAAGCTCCTCCCGGTTGATGTTCTTGCCGATAAAAGTCAGCTTGCAGACTCTCTCTTCATCAGGCCCCCAAGGGCCCTGTGGGGAGCCAGTAAATGCCATGTGGACTGCTTGGAACACGAACTTCTCCTTCATGCCCTTCACGGCTAGCACACCCTTGGTACGAAAGAGGTCTGCCCCTTTCTCCTTGAGCACCATGCCAAGCCAATCATTCAGCTTCTGCTGATCCACCTCGCCCTTCACGTGGAAACCGCAAGACGTCACACGGTCATCATGCTGATGGTCTTGGTTGTCCTCCAAAAAGGCATCATCCATTTCCAGGATCTTATCCAAGCTGAAGGCCTGAATGCCGAGAATGAAGTCCATATCAACTTTGCTCTGAGTGGCGCGGCGGATCTTCACCGACTCGTTGATCATGCGGATGCGTCTCTCCACTTCCACTAACTGGGGTTCGTCGACAAGGTCACACTTGTTCAACACAACGCGGTCTGCAAAGGCCAACTGTTCCACGGCCTCGTTCTCGACGCCCTCAGGCTTCTCTTCATCCAGGTGTGGGATCAGGTGCTTGGCGTCCACAAGAGTCACGATGCCATCCAGTGACATCTTCTGCTGCACAAAGTCGTCTGCGAAGAAAGTCTGGGCGACAGGAGCTGGATCTGCCAAGCCGGTAGTTTCGATGATGACGCCGTCAAGTGGCTTGTTGTTTTTGACTGCATTCTTGATCATCTTCTTCAGGCCGGCAATGAGGTCGCCTCGGACGGTGCAGCAAATGCAGCCATTGTTCATCTCGATGATGTTCTCCTGTGTCGCGATTGAGCCGGCCTCAATCAGACCGTCGTCGATGCCGACCTCTCCAAACTCGTTCTCGATGATGCCTATGCGCTTGCCGTGGTTCTCGTGAAGGATGCGATTCAGCAGTGTCGTCTTCCCGCTTCCGAGGAATCCGGTGAGTACCGTGACGGGCACCTTGCTTTCTGAAGGCTTCGCCTTCATCGCTGCCTGCACCTGTGCCACTTTGTCCTTCAACGCCCCGTCTGTGCTCCCCAACTGCTGTGCACACTCGTAGTCGCTGGCTGCACGCTTGTGCGCGCCGAGGCCCGTAATGATATCACCACGGAGCTCGTACATTTGCCGAAGGGTGTCCTTCTGCTCCGCCGAGACCTTCGGAACCATCTCGGCGATGAACGTCGGGGGGTCCTTCAAAATCTTGTCCGAGTCGTCGCCCAAAACCTTCGCGAAGGCTTGCATGCAGGCGTTGATGTGCTGCACAGCATCGAAGAACTTCCCTTCCTTCAGGGTTGCCTGTGCTGATGCAAAACTTTCGGTCCAGTTTTCTGCCATGGCGTCAAGAAGATGACGACTGAAGTGCCTCGTCGGGTGTCAGCACTAATTGCGAATTGGACCTGAGACAAAATGGCAATGAGTCATCAAAGTCTAGGATCCTTGCAGCTGGCACTATGCTGTCTGCATCAAGAGATATCATGCCCCTTCCTCCACGATGGCCGTGACCATGTTCAGGGAAACTTGCTTTCGGATCTCGAAGTTCAAGAAGCTGACCAGGCCCTGAATGGAGCGGACTCCAGACGTGGAGTGTATAGGAGTGTGGAATCTAGGAATCGGGTAGATTCATCTCAGTTTGCCACACTACGTCAACCTTGCTCCACTATGCCTGGTGCCTGCTCCGGTGCCGAGGCTCGCATGCCCAAACCACTTCTCAATCTTGCGTTTTTGGGCAACGTCACTTAGGGCAGGACGGCGAAGTGCTCCATCCTCAGATAGGCTGAGGAGCATGAATCTTCAGGAAGGGCTTTGGGCCAGGCATGCAATTTCTTACAAGCGGCAGAGAGGGATTCAGCCGCTAACGGTGGCATATCACTTAGAAAATCTGACAGGCCTTGTACGACTAGAGAACCCACAAGCGGAGCTTAAACAGTCTTCAAACAGGTAATCCAACCAGGAGCCATGCCAGAATATGCCTTGCAGCAAGGGCAAGTCGAGTCTGGGAGTTCGCAGCCATGCTGCTTACAGGCCTTTTGGACCTGGTTAGTGCCTCAGGAATGTTTAACCTGAGTTTCGGAATACTGCCACACAGCCTGATCTCGCCCAAGGTGCGAGGCAGGAATGTGGCAAGGCAATGAGTGAGCCTCCTCTCGAATCTAGAATCTAGATGCTGCTACAAGAGCGCCACCGGATCATTACAACTGCAGGTGTAAAGAGTCTCAAGCTGAAATTGAAAACGCGGCAGTTTCTGACCTCAGACGCTTCCGTCTCAACTTGGAAACCGTGCCTGACAACCCGGTTTGGGAAACAAACACTCCACGCCTGGCTGTTTGAGAAGACACTACCCCACCAAAACAAGCCCAAGGCTGAACAGTAAAATCACCCTAAGGCCTACAAGCATTCAAGCTGAGCAGCTTCAGGACTCCGAGGCCCAAAGTTTTCATTGGCCCGGCCCTTGGGCGCGAATGCTTTGCAAAGGTAAGGGAGCAACGTGGCGTGTTGGGTTTCCCGAAATCCAGCTGAGTGCCGAAGCTACAGACAAAGAAGGTGATGATGATCCCTACACATTACTGCCACCTTATATCAGGCCTGAACTCTAACGCCCTGCACACCTGAGTTCCTGCACCAATGAGTCCTTGACCCGAGGACAACAACAACGAAGCGAACTTAGTACTGGTGCACACTAGTATGCACAACAACAACAACAACAACAACTGTGCCACACTGCTCTTCGCTCGATGTGGCGAATGTAGGGAGACGGGTAGTTGTAGTGATGGTGGCAGCGGTAGCTTTGAGGCATAGGCTGTAGTAATTACAACTACCACCACAGCGACAACGCGAGTACCACAGCTGCGTCCATGTGTCACGTTCCCGTCTTACCCGGATTTCTTTGGCTGGGCGGATGCTTGCGAGAGTCATTCCCCCGAGGGGCTTTTCCATGCTGGCCAACAATGGAACTGCATTTGCTTCCGTTGTGGTGGCTATTACTGTGTGACAGGCAGTGGGAGAAGACATCAAAGGGATCCTGCTGAAAGAGAACAGCATTGAACAACTTGTTGCCGCGGGACTGGACTTCAGGAACCATCATGACTCGCCGCGAGACATACTTTTTCAAACTAGGTCATCTGCTACCCTTCGGTACCAAGACCCACTGCGGTGCCTTAGCGATAATTGAAGCCCCTTTCAAGGGCAGTGCGCAGGCCCTGATGCCCACCTCACCTCGAAACATCAGCACTCGCCGGTGACGACTCCAAGAACATGTGCTGAGTGAATCCAACAAGGCTCTGGCACGACTTAAGAACTATAGCGAAAGTTGCCAAAGAGGACACATGGTCAACCATTGTAAGAACGACCAGTGGGATTCTGCATCCAAATCGGAATGGTTGGTTTGCCACTCATGTTCTCAGAACGAAATGTGCATGAGGTCTCAGAGGCACTTCCTGGTGAAAAATGAGAAGTAGCCGTTCGGCACGAAGTTCACCTACTTCCAGAAAAAATTGCATACATGCTGTTAGCCACAGATCCATCGCCACCGCTCTGAGGTGCAAGTGCATTCTTGACAAAATTCTGCGACTAGGCCATTGCACCCGCCTTGGCCCAAGTTGTCCAAACGCTACGTATGCCCGTTGCAGGCTATGGCTGACGTCCCGGCCAAACAAAAGGCGCTGCACCCAACATATTGCAATGTTCGCAGGGGCTGTGGTCGAAACCGAGGTCACGGCAGTAACTCCCCGATCTGGTCTGCAGCCTTCTCGGATATCGGACCGCTGCAGCCTTTTTGTCAGCATTGATCAAAACCGGTCGACTAGCCAAATCACCGCGCTACAAGATCTCCCTTGCAGCAGTTCAAAACAGAATTTCGACGCCTAAGAGGCAGAGCAGCCTGACTGTCCCGAGCGACTCGAGAATGAGCTTCCAGGTGCTCTTTGGCTATGGCTAGAGACAAACCCTTGAATCTACGAATAGCCAGTATCGCCAGTGCTGGGTCGTCTGGGGATAAGAGAAGTCACACCCTAGAAAGAAGCATTCAGCTGCTCACCTGCTGAACCACACGTATCTAAGAAAAACAACCATAAGTCTCGTAATCATTTACGAGGAAGTGGCTGCAACCGCTTCCACTCCAAGTCCTCGCAAAGGTCAGATCAAGCCCAGCGCTTCCAGCCCTGAAGCCTATCCCAAAAAGGCCCAACAAAGGACAACGATCAACAAAACAAATGCTTAGGCCTTTGACTCTTTGACTTACACCTTCAGCTCCACTACACACTGTCAGTTGATGGGCCAGTTCAAGCGCAAATCCAAAAACACGCTTCAAGAACGAAACCTAGAGACACAGACAATCCACAAAACCAGCTACCCAACCGATCATAGCTCCAAGATTGAACTCAAATCTTGGCACCCTGGAAGCGCGGCGGCTGCCTGGTAGAGCCTTAAACTTCTGCAGCAACTCGGCGGCAGATCCCAGAATTATGTCGACATAGTGGACCTTCCAGGAAAGCCAAGAACGACACCTACACCTGCACCTATTGCAGCAGCAGCAGCAGCAGCAGCAGCAGCATGAGGGCGACAACAATAAGAATAGCACCAGCATGGTTTGGGGCTCAGGGCTGATATAGTTCTTCCTCGAAACGCATGCTTGCGGTGTTATATAATCCCTCCAGCAAGTCAAGAGAAAGCCACCATGGAAAGCTGGACTCATAAGCCTCAAATTTCAAATCAGCTCTCGAGGACTAAGGGCTGTTCTAGCTTGAGGCACTTGCTCAGAGATGGCAGCACCTGGTCCGGGTACAGGGACACTGTGAATTGCATGAACGCCGCCAGGACCTGACGCATGACGCTCGGGAGCTCGACTTTCTCCGTCTAACTATTCCAGAAGCTGGAGTCAAGAAGAGACTTCCTCAAACCCCTGGCCTCTCCTAGCATGTGGACGTTAGCGGGTCAAGGGGGAGGGGAGAGGTTCCAACAAAACGTCGCAAGAGAGCATATGTGGTCTAAATTCCAAAGACGACACAGCACAATCCGTAACCCTGATCTCAAAACACTTCAAAAGCTTCAGAAGAAGCTTGAATCACAGCGACAACGGTGTGACGGTTTGCATGTCCAAGACCTAGATGCAAGTGTGGCGTGTCTTGACTTGCCCGAGAATCTCAGCAAAGCGACACCAGCAGTAAGCCGACGTGTCCATCAGCTAAGCGTTGCAGTTTTGAGTTCTGTGGAGCCTTCCTTGTCAGTTGTTCAACCAGAATCACTAGGCCCTGAGTCCTCTGCACCAAAATCTCAAACCGAGGCTTCTCTGCCCACACATTATTCGTGCTAAGACCCGAAGCCATCTTGAAAATCTTGAACCCAACGGACTGCAGCGCACATGTAAACCGAGAAAAAATTCAAACTTAGAATCTCAGGTTCTGGTCGGTTGCGCACAGTTAGGAGCTTGGCCTGTAGTGGAGGTGCCATGTCGGGCACTGGCGATGCAACAGCAACGCCCCCTTGGCTTTGCTGTTGCGGCTGCAAGGCCTCAGCAGAAAGATCGTCTCTGTACAACCTTCCCACAAGACATGGCTCGCAACGGGTTGTGGGCGTGTGCAGCTGGACGATGAGGGGCTAGCAAGTTAAATAAGTTTCAAGGGCGTTGGGGGAAACATTTGTGCGTTGTCGTTATCAGCGTGATTGAAGCTTCAAGTGGTCATTGCATAGTGCGGCTGGGAGTTGCGCATAATCAAGCACTTGTCTCCTGCTTGAAGTGGCCCTGCCTGTTTCAAGAGTGAGACTTCTCCCTCCTGAGCATCCAATCGCCAAACTGCCTTCCTTAATGACGGCCACTCATTGTCGCTTTTGGTTTACGCAAGCTCTGGCTTTGCTTCATGAGTGTCAGCTCCCTCGTGAGCTGCCTGATTTGGACAGTTGTGCGTCATTTTGGACAGTTGTGCGTCATTTACAGTCACCGAGCTTCAGGAGGCCGCATGCAATCGAGCTCTGCGGGAGATGGTTCTGCGTTCGTACAGGCAAACACCTCATGGAGTCCATCACAGAACCAGTTCCGACATTTGGTTTTTCGCTTGCTGAATTGGGCGTTCCCGTCCGTAGTTCGCCTAGAATGGGAAATGTTTGACCATGCCTCTGCGAAGACTTCTCACTTCAATTTCCGGGTGGAATTTTTTGTGCGGATTACAGGCAGACGGCCGTTGCCTGTTCTGGGCAAAGCTGGACTGCCTCAGCACAACGTGTCAACGTGTGCTCTGCCGGTGGCAGTGAAGAAGTTTCTGTGCTGCACATGTTGGGAGGATGCTCTGCCACCCGCGACCTGTATTGGCATGTTCGGGATCAGGGCCCTTCGGCCCCTCCAAGAGCTCCAGTCGGGAATTCCTGCTGCAGCGTCTCTTCGGAGATCCCTGCACTTGGCAGGCGTCGCAGGTTTTTGTAGGATCCTGCCTTCGAAGACTCTTTGCAGACGGCCAGATGACTGCAGTCTGGCTGAAGAAATAACCTGCTGTGCAAGCGGTGACCGGTGAAAGACCCGCGTTCATGGCGCTGCCAGCAGAACAGGCTTCCAGTCACCAAGCTTCGTTGCTTGTTGCTAAGCAGGTATCAACCGCTGCTTGTTGCATGTATCAGCTGTTGTTACTCTCATCCAAGAGGGAAGCTCAACTTTATCCTATCTTATCAGTTCAAGAAGCGTGTATGGTCGAACGCAAGACGCCCAAAACATGCCAAAGCCCTGCAGATCTCGAGCATCTTCAGGCGGACTGATGGACATGGACCTCTCAGAACCTTCTTGAGCTCTCAAGAGGAACAAACAACCTTCAATTTCAGCTTCCAGCCCAAGATGACCCCAAGCCGTCGAGCGTACTTCCACAATCCATAGCTGATAGCTGCCACAGCTACAACTGAAACGCAAGTGCAGGAGGCTGTCATGAACCTGAGCTCACAGCCAAGCCACGCCCCGACACTGCACCTAACCAAACTATCCGAGGCAGTTGCTCGCTCCAAGATTCCCTGCAGATGTGATCGGAAAAGCCTGGGAGAAAGGGAACGCCGAATGAAAGGTTCTGGCGGGTGCACTTGACACCACTTAGCAAGCTCGCTGTTGACTTTTAAGGCACTCGGACATGTGCAGCGATTCTCGGTCTCAGCCTGCGAATGTTTGGCCCACTGGTCCCATGTAAGAGCATCGCCCACCAAACCCTTGCTTCCTCAACACCCCAAACTGTCTGAATTTCACGTCAAGGCTGAGTGAGCTCACTTCCCGAATCTAGACCTTCAGCGGAAACCTAAATGTCCTTATGGCATCACTTTCGCTGCCTTGCATATCTCAACTTGCCAAAACTGAGATGCCATGTTCGTCAAGCGGCGAGAAGATATCTCCGGCTGCTTCTGTCTTGGCGCTGTCTGCCTCAACATGCTTTGGAACCGAGGGTATGCAAACAGGTTCTGCTGGAGACTCAAATGGAGGGAGCACAAAGAGCTGGGTTCCAACATACTGCATTGACGAAGACCATGCCAGGCACCCACAACTACCAAACCTGTCTTTCGACATCTTTCGACGCTCCCAACAACTGCTTCGATACCGCCGATGGAGTAAATCCCCGCATTGCACCACACAAACAAGGAAAGCGGGCAACAACCCTATTTAGGGTTTAGGGCTTCTTCTTCTTCTTCAGCACAGATACAACCACCCCGCCCTCCCGCGCACAGGCACGCACTTGTCTCGAGGTCTGAGTGTCAGAAGGCACAACGGTTCGTGCAACCAGACAGAACCTCCTATGTAGCCATCCCCGCTCTCTCTTCACGTCACTTCAGGGCATGGTCCGCTCGCTCTCTCTCTCTCTCTCTCTCTCTCTCTGTGTTCATCTCTTTTGCATAAGGCGGTCTCGCACAGGCATACAAGCACACAAAATCGCAGAGCTTGGGATGGCAGGATTCAAGAGGGATCTCGCAGCCGTCTCAAAACAAGTCCAACACAAGCGATGCCTCGGACAGGTAGTTCGCCAGCCGGTTGCACAGTGTAACCATGATGGGCGTCATGTCTACATTCCTGGGAGAGTTGGGTAGCAGGAGCAGCGGAACACCCCGACCAGCCCCGTGTTGACACCAACGGCCGACAGCTGAATCCCTGGCCCACAGATGCAAGCAATGCACATCGACGTCTTTGCAAACGGTCATTCCAGGCTAGCGGTTTCCGTGGTTCATTGCCGTAGGAAAGTGAACTTCCGGCTCGTTGCGTCCGCTAAGAAATTCTGTTGCGTCCGCGAAACTTTCTCTTGCTCATGGGGTGGGCATTAGCTGAAACGCCAGCCCTTTTGCATCCAGGACTCTGTTCGACAGCCGGGAAAGCGCAACATTCAAAAGCCAGCCCTAAGCCCCACAACCCCTGAGTAGCTTGCTAACACCCACAGGCCCCGGCGGCAGCGCCCGAACGTAGGATGCAAGCATCGGCTCGAGAGTGCGAATGTGGAACCTCAAGATTTCGACTCACACACTCGCAAAGCAGGCATGGCATACGACGTCCGAGGTTGCTACTGGGACATGCCAGAACACTACACCAGGAATTGACAATGCTAAGCCACACAAAGGTAAGATAAGTTTTGAGGTTTCGTCCCCACGGGGCCCATGGGGTTCATGACTAAAGCTTCGGCTGTAGCTTCTACTGTCGCTCTGGGACAATCGGACAAGCAAGCAAGGCAACAAGCGCACAGTATCAAGCTGAGAAGGCTGGTTGATTATGAAGTGGAAATACAAGCAGAACGACACGGCGAAGCACGATGTGCACCTACAAGGCAAAGCATGGCAGTAACAATAAGTACTAACTACAAAAAGCACGCACAACATGCATACACAGGTACAAACGTGCCTCCCGTCGTCGTCACCATCCTCGAAAAAGCCTCTACTAGCACCACCGCCACCACAACCAGCATCAGCACCAGCACCACAACTAGCACTACTGCTTCTGCGACGACGACGATTTCTGGACTACGACTTAAGAGCGGCAATTCCCAACTGCAAGCTACTAACTACGAAGATCGAATTACCAATTACTACCTACTACCAAGACCTGGCCTACCTCTACGGCTACGTCTACCGCTGCCTACGGCAAAGACCACCACTACTACTACTACTACTGCTGCTGCTGCTGCTGCTGCTACTACTACTACTACTACTGCTACTGCTACTGCTACTGCTACTGCTACTGCTACTGCTACTGCTACGGCTACCGCTACCGCTAC